GTATTTCACCCACGCGACAAATGGCCGCAGGTGCTCACTCCTCCAGCGGGGCGCTCCCAGCAGGCCGAGGGCGGCGCGGCCCGACAGCGGGCGGCGCTGGCCGGCCGGCGTTTACGGCCGCGGGCGCACTTTATACGCTGGAAGAAATCCCGCGAGATTACTTTTCCGGAGTGGGCGACGGCTTTACGAGCGGCCGCATGAAATAGATTTCAGAATCCGTTGCGTGCGCCGCGAAAATGATGCGCTCGCCTGCACAATATGTTCAGTAAAACGCAACTTGTTTATTCCTTTGTGAACGCGGCCCCGCACGGATCATCGTCCTGCTCTTTTTCAGTCGGCGGGCGAGCGAGGCGACGGGTGGTCGGTTCGTCTAGGTACCCAGCAGGAAGATAAAGAGAGGAATAGCACAACACTTCTCCCGCTAACCGGTAGCTCTCCTCTATTCAGGGGTCGTCGACAGAAGCAGTAGTTTGTCTCTTGTGACGTGTGTCAGTTCCCGGTTGCTTGGGGGGGTGTCGACACGCCCCCCTGGGCCGTGGACCTGTACGGTACAGAAAACCCTTAGAATATTCTCTTTTTTAAGACGAAACTGACCATCCGCGTCGGAGAATAATATAACACATCCTTCCTCGCAGTTCCTTCTTACATCTGTCACGCTTTTAGTACTATATATATAAGAAATTGCATCGAGCGTTTCGATAAAGTGACAACATCTTCGGAGCAAACAAAGCACGCGTGCCGCTGTGCGGAGTGCGCCCCCTGCCGAGAGGGCGTCGCCAGAGGCAGTCGTGTGCCGGGGGCGAACAAGTACCACTGTCGCGTTGGCGGCGCGCCCCGCGGCGAGGGCAGAAAGCCACCGGGCTGACGACCCGCCACCAAATGCGCTGGTGGCGCTTTGAAGGAACAACTGGTCAACGCCCTCTGTAGTTCACCGACCGTTGGGCGACAGACGGCGACAACATGGCGTCAGAGTTTTCTTTTGAAATGTGAACTAATACGATACGTTGACACCAATTACTTACGAAGTTCGACAGTTAGCCGACTGTTTTCTTCCTTTAGACTCTTCATAGTAAATACTATGATTGTTAAATATCTGGAATTTGTATTCAAAATTCAGAAAATGATATAAATAAATAATTATTGTAATAATGTTTGGGCAAACAATTAGTATAATATTCGTAATATGAGACAAATAGTTGTGAGTGTAGAGAGTAGTGAGTGTAGGTAGTTGTGAAAACATGCAAAATAAATTTAAGCCAGTTTTAAACTAGATAATAAAAGGTTTAAAAACAATTGAAGTACTAATAAATCAAGATAAAATGTCTGCTTTTCTGACAGGTTAATACCAATCACACAGAAGTCAATGCATGATAAATGTTAACTTGTTAGAAATAATTGTATTGTGCACTGTGCACAAGTTCAAAGATCATTTTGGTTGGAGTAGAAGTTAACAATGTATTGATTAACAATGTATGCCAGAGATGTCTTTATAAATCTGTTTACGTCAACTAAGTAACTAAGTGTACTGCACGTTTGCCATCTACCATCCAAAAATAAACCTCGTAATCTCACTTCTAAAAACGTACTTTATCACTAGACAATGTTCACATGTAACTTTTGAGAACGACAATGATGCATCTATCGTGCGACATCCCGCAAAAAGCACTTCGTCTTTCACAACAAAGCAAAGCTCTTTAAAACTCTCTCTCACCCTTTATTTAACATCCGTAATAAAGACGACGACGCTGAAAGTCGCTCTTCTATGCAAGTTCCATTAGAAAGCGCGGACGCCCCAAGTGCGCATTAACGCCGGCCACCCATCCAGCAGACTCGTTCCGAGAATTCCCGCGCTGCGAAGCACGACATGAAAACAGCAGAGGGTGTGTCAAAGAACGTAAACGTTTGACGTTTGTCAAAGCACAGAAGTTAGTACATTACACTGAAGATATGAACGGCTAGGTAATAATTACTAAAACACACGTACTTGGACATGAATGTATTGTAAAAACAATTATAAAATTATATTTGAAACGAAAAAAGTGAAGAGGCTTAGGTATGTTGAACAAATTATGATGTTAGCTGCGACAGCAAAAATACTTAAAGAAGAAGAAAGCACTGAAGTGTAATGAAATGGCCCCTACGTACTGCCAACCACCCTCCGATTTTACACCGAAGAAGATAAAAGAATACAAGAAAAAAAACATTTAACATTATCGTTTGAATGATATGATCTAGAATAATTGTAAATGTGCTGTTAAGCTTTCAAACAAGTGCAAAGGTTTGATAAGCCCTTACTACAAAATTTTATATTTGAACTCTACGGCGTAAGTAGCAAAATAACACTAGGTGAATTTCTTATAAGACATTGCACTAGTTTACTACACGAAGTAATGATAATTTGTATTAAGGAGTGGTTCACTACACAACAGAGAAACGGAAAAATAATGAAGAGGCAAATTGATAAATGTATCACTCGTTTTTAATATATTATTTTAGAAAATGACGCAATAGAATTCCAGTCTCTTTCGCATTCAAGCAAGAAATTTCAAAGTTGAAGGTACACTTGCCAAACCCATAATTGACGAGATGATGACCCATAATTAACGAGAGATGTGTTGCTCTTTCACGCTTACTTTCTTGATAAACCGGAACAAAGTAAATAGTTTCTCTTTCATTAGATATGTTTTTTTGAAGTCTTAGAGTAACATACTGAGGCATCTCATGGCCTATCGCAGTGCCTACTAACCAAAAAATTAATATTTATAGTTTTATTTTCTTTCCTTCGTATACAAAGTCACAGACGCGACGAAGTCCAGAAATAAACACGCTGCACAGAGATCCGTGTGCGGGAATTCCTGACTGAGGGTTTTGCTCCTCTCGAGTGGACGACACGTAAGGTCATGCAAATCTCCAGCATCATCCATCAAAGCAGACCCCAAATTACACCCTCGAATTCCCATCCAATTTGCGAGCGACGCCGCCGTCTCTAATATCAGAGACGGCGTTACGGACAAGGAAGTCGTTGACTTGAAAAACGATACGCAGTGACGTTGAGTTTCTTCTTTGCTTTGTGTCAACACGTTATTTAATTGCTTACCGAACAAATATGAAATGTAAAATAGTATGAAGCAACAATTGTCGTCCCATTTTGCGCCACAAAATATGGTCAACCAAGTCTGTATTTCATTTTATTCTTTTTATTAATTCTATGATTTTTCGTCTTCAGTGTACCACCCCAGTAAAGCCCAGTAAAGTAATCAACATGAATTAGCGGACGTGCAGTATTGCTTGTCTCGCAATTACACAACTCGAATCACCGTTCTTTATATATATATATATATATA